GGAGATCGGAGCACGCTTTTGCTGCTGTATCGGGCAATCATACGCTCTAACCTGGACTATGCATGTTATATTTATGACAGCGCGTGTGAGTCCACGAAACGGATCATTGACACCATCCATCACACTGCTGTACGTGCCATCACAGGCGCGTTCCGTACATCTCCAATCCGAAGCCTCTTGGTAGAATCGCACGAGCCGCCGTTGTTAGCGAGGAGGAAAATGTTAGACATACGTTACGCGCTTAAGCTGCGACAGTTCCCGTGGCATCCCGCATATCACGCAGTCTTTCCGCGGCCTGCTGTGCCGTTTGTTCGCAATGCACCTCGGGCGCATGCTGTGACCTTTGGCTCCCGGATACGAGCCTTACTGCGGGAAAACGAAATTCCCATTCGAAAGGTGAAGCAATCAGGTCATCTGTGCACTCCTCCCTGGCATTTGATCTCTCCCTTCACAGACACATCTCTGACTGAAATGAGAAAGAATGTCTCGCTGCCAGATATACTGAGGTCCAGAGCGCTTCAGGGTTTTAGCGTTATATCAGGGCTACACACATACTTACACGGACGGCTCTAAAACTTCTGATGGTGCAGGCTGTGCGTTGTGAGCGGTGGCGTCACCTGGTCGTTTTCATTGCCCCCAAACGCTTCGGTGTTCACATCGGAGCTCATAGCAATCATTAAGGCACTATGTTTCATTGAAGTCGGTGACGAACCCTTACATCTCATTTTGACGGACTCTCTGAGCAGTGCTCTGAGTGTGAAGTCTTATTATCCGTCATGTCCCCTTATACAGGACATCTTAATACGTTTGGCTCAACTGGATCAGGCCGGAAAGAAAGTCATGCGATGTTGGGTTCCCAGTCGCGTCGGAATCAGGGGCAACGAGTTGGCTGATGCGGCTGCCAGGCGAGCAGCGCTGGCTCCATGTGTTCGCTCCCTTTCTATTCCTGCCAGGGACTTTCATCCTGCAATGAAAACCTTCCTGCATAACGAGTGGCAGCGTTGTTGGGATCAGATGGAAGGTAATTAGCTTAAAGAGATAAAACCTAAGCTGGGTCATTGGTTTTCGTGTTTCCGCGAAATGAGGCGAGAAGAGGTGATGCTCTGCAGACCACGCATCGGACACACGTACGCAACCCACGGCTATATGTTGGAGGCAGCCGATAAACCTATCTGCCATCGATGAGGCGCTGTCCTCACCGTTCACCATGTCCTTATATCTTGTCCGCGCATCGTGAAGGAGCACCCACGTTACTTTGGACAGCGTGACTCGCCCCTTACCCTCAGTGATATGATAGGAGACAACTCACAATTTCTTGGAGCTCAACAGATCTCTTTATTTCTCAAACACATCAACTTTAGAACCATTTATGCTGCTTATTAGATAGGTAAAACAAAACTCGCTATGGGCGCCAAATGACCACCGCAGTCGGCGCGCCCTTAAACTCCAATAAACAACAAAGAGGTCATGGTGTACATCGCTACCTCATGTTAAAAAGAGCATTGTACATCAGTCATCGTTATTAGGGCGGAACATATCGTAATTAATCGTAAAACAGGTCATCTACACTCTTACCTTGGAACTTACGTATCTGCGATAGCGAACATTCGAGCGCCGCAAACACGCAGCAACCCCGGCCCCGGCGCGATTGCTACGCGTGATCATAACATTACTGCCCATCAAGAACCATAACAATGTACCCGGCCAAGGTAACAAGAATCCAATGAAATATGTTTCTTGCGTTTCCAAGCAGTCTTTCGTACCGTTTGTAGATTGGTCGACATTGTGGGTTAGGTACGTTACGCTTACGTTACGCTACGTTACGTTACGTTAGGTCAGGCAAGGCTAGGCTAGGCTAGGCTAGGCTAGGCTAGGTTAGGCTAGGTTAGTTAGGTTAGGTTAGGTTAGTTAGGTTGGCTTAGGTTAGTTAGGTTAGCTAGGTTAGGTTAGGTTAGGCAAGGCTAGGCTAGGCTAGGCTAGGCTAGGCCGGGCTATGTTAGGTTGGGTTAGCTAGGTTAGGTTAGGTTTGGTTAGGTTAGGTTAGGTTAGGTTAGGTTAGGTTTGGTTAGGTTAGGTTAGGTTCAGTTCAGTCAGGTAATGTTAGGTTAGGCAAATTTAGGCTACGTTCTGGACTATTCTGGCCTGTCTGTTTCATTAACGTACCTACACGCGATAAGAAACGTATCTCATTGCATTATTATTGTTACCTTGGCCCCGTACACTTTTTATAGTTCTTGATAAGCAGAGATATTGTAACCACGCAACGATAGCGCAGAAACGGCGCGGGGGAGTCGAAGCTGCGGGTCGAAGCTTGTCTCTCCGTTATTCCCTGAAGATACTAAGTCGAGAGGATCATCCATGCAGAAAACTTATGGCCAATGAGGCTGCGTTACATGAGGTAGAGACTGGATATATGAAAAGGATTTCTGGTTTCCCGCTATATGAGAGAATACTTGATATGTGCCATGAAACAGGATTCGATTTCCCAGAAGAGGTGACCTTAAAACGCAGCGTCGTTCCGCCATGGAGATTACGTAAATGTACGTTGATAAAGTTGACTAACAGGAGCAAGAGAACGCTAGATGAAGTGCAAATTCAATGTGAGTTTAATGATTTGAGAAGCAGGTATACAGAATACGAGTTCATATTTACCGATGGAGCAAAAAGTGCAGACGGAGTTGGATGTGCTTTTGTCCACGGTGAAAGACGTCAAAAATTTAAACTTCCTGAACTTTGTTCGATATTTATAGCTGAAGGATTCGCAGTATTACAGGCTCTGAATTATACACATACAAATCGCATCCTCAAATGTGTTATATGCACAGACTCCTTGTCCATTATAACAGCCCTGGGAAATCCGACTTCTGAAAACCCGATCGTGATCCATTTACTAGAGACGGTCAGTCAGCTTATTGAAATGGGCAGTATAATCATTGTCCTCTGGATCCCAAGCCATAGTAATATACGTGGAAACGAGACAGCGGATGCACAAGCAAAGATGGCTATAAGACTGAATGACGTGTGTAATTTTCAAATGGGTCCTAAAGATTATTTTCCTAAGGTGCGTCGAAGTATTCGTGAATTATTCAACAAATATTGGACAGATTACAACCCTAGGACTAATTTAAAACGCATCAAAGAAGAGGTAGGAGACTGGGTCTCCTGTAAGCGAGCAGTCCGACGCGAAGAGATAGTGCTGTGCCGGCTGAGACTTGGGCATACTCGCTATACCCACTCATACATGATAGATAGAAACCTCCAACCTGAATGTGAACGATGTCAGTGTCCATTAACAGTGTATCACATTCTTCTTGAATGCCCCGTATATTTTCACGAAAGACGATCATTGGTAACACTATGTCAACGGTCCGGAACACAATTTTGTGTGAGGTCGCTGGTAGGAAATCAATTCCCGGACATCATTGATGGAGTGATGAAATATTTGCGACACTGCGACCTACTGAAACAATTGTGAAGTGCTGCCTTTGCGTGCGGGACAAGTGCAATTTTTGCTTTGCTGTCATTGATTGCTGCCATGTTGTTTATACTATATTGTAATTGTTTGAAATGAGTTGTTTATTCTATGTATAATTTAAGCTTGCGTGCATATCTGCGTACGATGTCTGACTGGATGCTTGAGAAATGTGAGAAGCAAGGAAGTGGTATAGGAATTATGTGTAGCAAATATGTGTGATACGTGGGTGTGTGCGTAAGCAGAGGAGATTACATGAATGAGGTTTGAACGAGCATGGTGAAGACAGATGAATGTGCGTGCATGCGTTAGAGTACACGGCATGGCAGATATGTGAAATTTCCATCTGGTAAATGCTTTGTTAAACGGCAATGTTGTGACTGCCGACTGACTGATGACTAACCTGCAACGTCTATCATGTGGGGAAACTGCGGTTAAAAGAAAATGATAAAAAAGAGCCTGGCAAAAAAAAACCGGACTTTTTGTTCTCTTGTTTTAGTTCACTAATCAGTTTATGTATCTGAACATTTAACACCGAGTTTTCTAGAAACTAACACCGTTTACTGCACCTCCTTGCTACACCGCTATCCTGCACGAAAATTCCTGACCAGTGCGACACATTCCTTCTATCCTCTGTCGCGCTTAGTTACCACCTGTGCTACCAAACTTGTAAGACAACACTTCAACGATGGACGCCTGAGCCCAAGAGGCTATGCGCCCTTAACCAACAACAACAACAACAACGGGAGATAGCTAGCGTAGTTATTAGAATTCGAAGGTAGGGACGTGAATCTACCTATTTTATGATTATCTACGAGATGTCCGGCCCTAAACACGACGAATGATGTACAATGACTTTTTCCAACATCAGGTACCAATGTATACCTACACTCACAGATCCAGTGTGCCAGCCATGTATCAAGGAGTGTGCACGACGCAACGTGGCGGGCTCGAGATTGGTGCAACACTTTCTATACCAGATGTGCTCCAATCCTTCCAGCAGTCAAGCAGGACTCCTGAGTGCATGTCTACGTTAAGCGACTCGTGGATTATTGGCCTATGGTGCTCAAATGGATTGTTTACCAATGCTAAGTTACCCATTTTTGCTTTTATTATTACTGTACACCGATTTCATATCAGCAGTCTTTTATGGCATGAAACGGTAGCAAACAAATCGTACTTAGTAGTTTGCTCATGTAGGGCTCCTGGTATGCAGACATGCTATTAATTGCATCCGCGAAGGTTATCCTTCAAACCTTATTTAGTCTTCTGCGCAACAAACAGGTACAAGGCCACCGGCAAAGACTACCCATTGCTCGCCAGTTAACGGCGTTATGCCGTCGAATCGTGTCGCTACACGCCTATTGCCTCAACCATGCATGAACTTGCCCTTAAAACAGAAATACATAATGCAATGAGCGGCCCGACAGCCGTTGTGGGCTCGGCATCCGTGGTCAAAGCGCAGTGTGGGAGGACTGACTAAACGGTCATACGTACTCACCCTCTAAACCTGCAGGCAAAAGACGTACACATGCAACAGTGTTATTCCATTGATTTCAATCACTCATCAATGCGACTAACACCGCACAACATCCAGAAAGGCCTCCGTTCCACAGCCCCGCTCTGGGCTCGGACGTCTGCCAGCGGCGCCGGGCCCATCTGCCGGCCGCACCCGAGTATCGCAGCTGTCCAGCTCAGGCCGCTCTGGGCTCGGACGTCTGACAGCGGCGCCGAGCCCGTCCGCCGGCCGCAACCGAGTATCACAGCTAGCTGTCCAGCTCATGCCGCTCTGGGCTCGGACGTCTGACAGCGGCGCCGAGCCCGTCCGCCGGTCGCACCCGAGTATCACAGCTGTCCAGCTCAGGCCGCTCTGGGCTCGGACGTCTGACAGCGGCGCCGAGCCCGTCCGCCGTCCGCCGGTCGCACCCGAGTACCACAGCTGCCCAGCTCAGGCCGCTCTGGGCTCGGACGTCTGGCGCCGACGACAACGGCGCCGAGCCCGTCCGCCGGTCGCACCAGAGTATCACAGCTGTCCAGCTCAGGCCGCTCTGGGCTCCGACGTCTGACAGCGGCGCCGAGCCCGTCCGCCGTCCGCCCGTCGCACCCGAGTACCACAGCTGCCCAGCTCCGGCCGCTCTGGGCTCGGACGTCTGACAGCGGCGCCGAGCCCGTCTGCCAGTCGCACCCGAGTACCACAGCTGCCCAGCTCCGGCCGCTCTGGGCTCGGACGTCTGACAGCGGCGCCGAGCCCGTCCGCTGGGGGCACCCGAGTATCACAGCTGCCCAGCTCAGGCCGCTCTGGGCTCGGGAATGTGACAGCGGCGTCGAGCCCGTCCACCGGCCGCACCCGAGTATCGCAGCTGTCCAGCGTGATCTAGTGACCTGAAGAGGTAGCTCGGGCAACCTCAGAGCGCCTCTAGATGCCCGTGCCCTTTCCTCTTGGATTTATTTTGCCGGGGCGTGTCCGCTAACGCCTTTGAGCCTACAGCTTCGGGTCCGCAACTGGACGGAGCTGCAAACCAATGCACTGGCGTCAGTACAACTAATATTGACCATAACCCCCGGCTACCAACGTTTCCGCGCGGGGCCACAATAGACAAACCCGGAGCGCAGTTTTTTTCCACAGCTTTGTACGTTTGACCAAGCGTCTTGAGCCACAGCAGATATAAAAACATACGACTGCTGAACCCGTCATATGTTCTGAGCTCGCCACGACTTCGTCTGTAGGACTGGAGGTCTGACGTTACAAAATGTCGCCTGTCGGGCGCATGCCGTTACAAAACGCGTCCCTACTTCCCAGTGCCGCGAATACCCGCCCCAGCTGCGGCGGCAATATGCGCAGCGGGCGAGGTCGGTTACCTTCAGCGTCCGAGTCCGAGTCTAGCAACGGGTGTGCCGCTCTGGGCTCCGAGTCCTTCCAGGTGTGCGACACGGCTGGGCGTGGGGTGACGCGCCGCGGGGTAGCGCTACGGTCGCGTCCCGGGGACTGGGACGGAGCGATCGTCCGCGAGGTGGCGCTGCGGTCGCGCTGGGCGGCCGAAGGCGGCGTGGCGACGCCGCTCAGCAGGTCGTTAAGCTCGGCCTCCAGGTCGGCTGTCTCGCTGGCGTCAACCGGCGAGAGAGGTCGCGCCAGCGCCGACACCACCTCGTCTCGGTCCTCCAGCGCCTGGCCGGACGGCCCTCCCAGTTAGCGCGCCGGCCGGCGGCGGCGTGAGCAGCCGGGTGATAAGATTAACCGGTCAGGTTGGGCAACAACACCACGGGGCCACACAAGTCACTGGAATACCACCGACCACAGATCCATGGGTCAGGGCAACCACTTATCCAGACCCAAAGCGTGTCTTAGGTCACTTTTTCAAGTCAACAGACATTTCGGCTGGTCACTTATTAACCACACAGCAGCAGTAGCAGCAATAGCAGCAGCTCGGCCACGCACACGCACGCGCGCACAGCTGCTAGCCGGGCCAGGTCGGGTCATACGCACCTCCTGGCAGTCGGCCACCACCTGCTCCACCCTGTCGATGGTGACGTTGCCAAACGCGCCGCGGGCGGCGGCCGTGCCTCGTGACAGCGCGTCAGTCACCTGGCGACGCACAACACTCCCGGGAGTCATCACAATCCGCCAGGCACTCACCGGTCCGCGATATCTATCCACCGTCACAGCAAATGTGCTGCACACACCTGCACCTGTTGGAAGCATTCCTAGTCCTGACCAATCAAGAATTCGTCAAAATGGAACCTGCGATGAGGTAGATGAGTGATCAAAGCTAGCGTAATTTCATGCTCAGTGATGTAAAGGGAGACGAGGGTCACACACAATGAAAATAACCAAATAAATAAAAGGATGAGGGCCACACACAGCGACAACTGATACACAGCCGCACAATCAACAGAGCTCGATGAGCACTCATGCCCTGCAGCTAATGGCAGCGTGCCCGCTTCTGCCCCCCCCCCCCCCCCCCCCCTCCACCCAAAGGTCCTCTAGTCCTCGTCCAGCGCGACCATGGCATGTGTTATGCCTGCTCATCAGCGTCGCCCTGGCAGAAAAACAACGCATTTTTGATTCAGCGAGCGGTAAACCTACTATATGCACTATGGAGTATTGCCGTACAGCATGTTAAGAATGGCCGCGGTGTTTCACGTGAAGGCGAATAATGAACCATCTGCACGCGCAGAAGACGATGCGACGACGAAGCCCAGTGCCCGACGAAGGTGAATGGAAGGCCTCCAGTGTCGTTATATCATCCTCGCTGCATTCAGATCAGTCATAAATAACTAACATGGGTTTTTGTCATGTGAAAGTAAAGCTTGCCCCAATTCAATAAAATAAGGATAAACCAGGCCCAACTTTTCATACGTTATCCTTTCAGCATTAACTCTCAAAAGAACGCGAACGGTTAAACAGGTTCATATAGTTATATGACCCCCCCCCCCCTGTTCTGAGAATAGCGACAGCTTTCCATAGGAGGTACAAGTGGATGGACTAACGAACGCTGCGCATGGCACGTGTCGCAATCAGAACTAACACCGAACGCTCCACGCGGCGTCTTTTTTAGAGAGCGTGCTCCACATTTGTACAGGGTTTGAGGCGGCAAAGCCAACTTGAAGATAACTCGATGTAGTTCACAGTCCCGCCCCTTTAAAGACCTTAGCCCTTCCTAGATTCTAAGTCACACGCCCGCAAAGATGAGCAGGTTATTTTGCGAAGACTATTTCAAGGTCACACAGGCATCCATGACACCATAGCAACCTCATTCAAATCCTGCCATTCCATTGGTCTTGCGGCAAACAATGTGAAGAAAAATATGACTGTCGAGTCGTCCATATCTGGCTTTCATAGTCGCGATTTTCAAACAAAACGACCGTCAGTTAGCTCTTAATCAATGTTGTGCAAGGCACGAGTACATCATCAAACAACGATGTTTTGAGGAGCATATCAACTAAACAGAGAAACTGCGCTGTCTAGGCCAGCGTTTTCCACTTCAAAGTAACCAATAGCCATAGGTGAGCTTATTGCACCATATCTGATGTTTGCTTCAGTCCCTTGAATGTGGAACGCTCCCTTCAACAATTACTCCGCTTGCTTTCCATAGCCCGAATCTTCATATCTGATAGCCCAAAGGGCTTTTTCCTATCTAAAAAGAAAACGCGACGGCAGTCTGCGCATACCCCATTACGGAGCACATGCGACAACAGAAGCCGTGCTAGCAGGAGCAATGGCGCAACCGGGACTCAAACCCGCGCCCCCAAGCGGGAGCCGACAGCACTAACCACTCCAATATTACGGCCCCGTATAAAAAAGAACGCCTAGTGCTAGACGTTTGGCCACCGACTTCTAGCTTTACCATCCGAGACCTACCGCCATCGGCTGCTTAAAGTTGCCTGAATGTATAATGCAAACGGCGTACGTTTTTACGGACAAAGCCCTGCACATCAAAGATATTGCTGACAGGTCGGTCCATATAAACTAACCAGCCGTCTGTCCCACCAACCGATCGTCAAACCAACCAACCATCCAAGCATCCGACCGACCGACCGACCGACCGACCGACCGACCGACCGACCGACCGACCGACCGACCGACCGACCGACCGACCGACCGACCGACCGACCGACCGACCGAACCAACGACCGACCGACCGACCACCGACCGACCGACCGACCGACCGACCGACCGACCGACCGACCGACCGACCGACCGACCGACCGACCGACCGACCGACCGACCGACCGACCGACCGACCGACCGACCGACCGACCGACCGACCGACCGACCGACCGACCGACCGACCGACCGACCGACCGACCGACCGACCGACCGACCGACCGACCGACCGACCGACCGACCGACCGACCGACCGACCGACCGACCGACCGACCGACCGACCGACCGACCGACCGACCGACCGACCGACCGACCGACCGACCGACCGACCGACCGGACCGACCGACCGACCGACCGACCGACCGACCGACCGACCGACCGACCGACCGACCGACCGACCGACCGACCGACCGACCGACCGACCGACCGACCGACCGACCGACCGACCGACCGACCGACCGACCGACCGCCGACCGACCGACCGACCGACCGACCGACCGACCGACCGACCGACCGACCGACCGACCGACCGACCGACCGACCGACCGACCGACCGACCGACCGACCGACCGACCGACCGACCGACCGACCGACCGACCGACCGACCGACCGACCGACCGACCGACCGACCGACCGACCGACCGACCGACCGACCGACCGACCGACCGACCGACCGACCGACCGACCGACCGACCGACCGACCGACCGACCGACCGACCGACCGACCGACCGACCGACCGACCGACCGACCGACCGACCGACCGACCGACCGACCGACCGACCGACCGACCGACCAAGCCAGCCAAACAAACCCCGCTTAAGACTGGGTTGGTCTGAAGACTGAATCATGACAAACCGACTGTAATGGAAGGATGGCATGGGCACCAACCGACTCCCCATGAGTGAAGTCCCTTAATTGTATCGCATTGCTACGTTGATCACATGTTTACTTCACCAAAGAGCTTGAATGGGAGTTGTATTGAACACATCAGTTGTATTGAACTTTCACATCTGCCTACTAAATTAGCCCACCTTTTGGTTGTATTTGGATTCTTCAATGCTGTCTAGCATATCTTGAACGTTGTCCAAGGTCATGGATTTCTGTTCAAGAGACACATTCATCTTTTTCCACTTGCGGAGCTTTTGCTTTGCCTGCAAATCCAGTATGTACGGGAAAAATCAGCACATGTGCATTCGATGCGAAAATTCTGTAAATACTGCAATACCACACACCAGTAAAATGTTTTTGCAACACACTGACTACTTCTCTTGTAAAGATTGAACAAGACACCGTAAAAATCAAACAGCTTTGTCCAACAGGCAATAGTGCCCGAGCAAAATCCAGTTTTCCGTGCAAATTCAACGGCTTCAGGCACGCTACGCCGATGATCATGATTAGGGTTTAACGGCACAGCGACTACGACGGTCAGTTTTAGGATTAACCCATGCCACCAGGGGCCGGTCATGGCTGCTCTACATTCCACGAGAAACAGGGCTTTCCCCTTTGCAGCATGTCCGTCCCGCCCGTCCGGCATCAACACGCACCAGTTCCCTCTGCCCGCTCTTCAGCAGCTCACGAGCGCTGCTCCTCAGCTGCGTCTGATCGCTCGCCAGCTGCGTCACCTCCTTGGTCATGGTACTCTGCACCAGCTTGAGCCGCAGAACGCCTGGGGATGACACATGGTCACAGAAGCCAACGGGCGCTGCGCCTGAAGGCGACCCCACGCCCTGGAGCAGCGGAAGAGTTTTCTCCGCACGCGCTGACACAGATCGCGTTCCGCATGCTTCGCCCACGTCAAAGCGTGCTGGCGCACACCAGCACGCCTCGCTGGTCAAAAACCGAGAAAAATGACACCACCACTGAACCTATCGCTCCATCTCCCCTCTCCCCCTCTTCGACTCGCCGAACTATCCCCAGTTACCGCGTCACAAGTCCTCCTCCCGTAGTTTCGTAAAATGAGTCGACAGCACAGTGAAAACTGACGAAATTTACCGCCAGAAAACACGACAACGAACACGTATTCCACGAATAAGTCTACTTTCTTCTAAAAATTGTGGGGCTGGAGACCCAGCTCGAGAGAGGCTGGAGCTCTTAACTGAAAAGGAAACCACACCCTGCCCCCTCCCCATCACCGCCCAGTCTCTGGTCGGTCGCAGCGCGCGCGCGCTGACCCGTCCGACCCACCGCGCTCCAGTTCGGTGACAGTCGGCGCGACCGGCTCGCCGTCCAGCCGGAACTTGACCGCCAGCCGGCCGTCCACGTCGTCCAGCGTCGCGCGGCCGTTGCGCTCAAGCTCCAGCAGCGCCAGCTCCAGGTCGGCGCGCGTCGCGAACAGCGCGTCATGCAGCCGCCACAACTGGTCGACCAGGAGGAGCTCTCCGCCGGCCGGCTGCGAGACGTGCCGCGCGTAGAGTTCGTCGCTGCGCTCCTGCCGGCCGGCGGCGGCGGCAGGGGCGTCAGCGGTGCACTAACAACGCCGTCAGTCAGCCCAGGGTGCCTTCCCATGTGATAAAACGCACACAAAACGCTACAAGACCAAATCCTGCAATGTCTATAATGGATATCATCACGCATGCCATTATATAGGACCTCATGTTGCTATATTTGACATCGGCAAACTTCTGTACACCACCGTGGAACCCGAGAACTCACATATGTCATCGCGGCAGCATGCTGGTTTTCTACTGCCTAGACAAAACCCCATAGACATTCATAAAACCCCGTAACGCAGCACCCATGGAACCATGCTAGCTCCAGACTGAGTGTGCCCGCCTGCCCGCACACCGTCTGCCATGTACGTACCTTGAGCGCCGTCAGCAGCACAACGTCCTCTTCGGGTTCGGCCCAGAGCGCCGGCTTGACCCAGCTCCAAAAAAGGCGGGCCGGCTGCCAGAGGAGCAGCTCAGTGCCCCAGGCCGTCCAGCTACGAGCGACGGCGCAGCGGCGGCGCAACTCAGCCTCAGTCATCATCTCGCCCGTCCTGCATCGCAAGGCACGGGTCACACGGCGCCGGCGCGATAGCCATTGCCAGCATCATCAACTCCACGCAGAATGGTGGCGCGATCGCGCCCTTTGCCTGTGCCTGCGTCCTCTGCCAAGGGCCAGTCAATGTTTATTGGGGCGACACACAATCGACAGCTAAATATGTCACTGCCATACTCAAACATTGCTGAGACACCCACCAGCCAGCGAACTATGCAGGTGTATCAGCATGCATACCAAAATTAGTACCAAACAATCTATTGTTACACGGTGGGGTGGAGTAGCGTAAAAGACAAGAGCAGCCGGAACGCCGACTCCACCACGGCCTCACCTCCTCAGGTTGCTAAACACCTCCTGCAGGCAGCTGGGCCGGTGGATGCCCACAACAAGCGTGGTCTCCAGCCGATGGCGGTTGAGCAGCAACAGCTGGTGACGGCGACACTCATCAGCCAGCTCCTGGCGCCAGAAGGCCATCTTGCAGTCGTAGCCCACGGGGTTCACATGACGAGAGCGGAATGGTCCGAACAGTCCGCCCACAATAATCTCGCTTTCCCTCCAGTTGGCTGGTACTGCTGCCATACTGGCTCGTGTTGGAAGGCTGGAAGAAAACACGGCTGTAAGTCTTGTTACAAAATCATGCACCTTCGATGAAAACATCTCAACTCTTTGAAGCATGCAATGCTGCTTGGACACTTTGCACATGACATGCCAGTGTCTGAAACTTGGATGTTTCTTGGTGTTTTTAGCCCCAAGACATTTTGTTCACCACAAATATACACTGAAAAGAATGTAAAAATATTTATCTGTGAACGAAGTCAGATGGAGGCTAGCTATTCTCGCAACTTCGACGGCATCGCGCGTCACACTCACGACTGAACGAGGGATACTGCTTGCGGGTTACAGCCGAATCTCTCCACCAGTCACACACAATCTTTCCCTGCGATGCATCCAGTGCCTAGGTCCGCTGCTGCCCACCAGCACATGTCTAACCCACCCACCGTCCAACGACACCAACGCGCTGATACACCGCGCCCGGGGCCCCGTTCTTGATGGGGAAAATGCTGCCAGATGCTCCACCCTTTCAGATAACAACCTACGACGTTCCACAGCTACGTCATCGACGCCATGGAGAGCCAAGTAAATCCTCAACATGGTGGCTAGTAAAATCAGGGCCCCGTTCTTGATGAGCAAATGCTGCCAGATGCTCTGCCTTTTCAGGTAACAACCTATGGCGTTCCACAGCCACGCCGTCTACGTCATCGAGAACGCTTCAAGTAACTCCTAAACATGGCGGCTAGTAAAATCGGCTTTTTCCAATAAATACACTTGACGCGCAGCAGATATGATACTGACGAGTCGGGAAAGTTAAATGTTCTTCAATGTACAGTTGTACAAATACTTCAGGTGCAACCCTCGCGACAGCTGCATATACCATGATGACTTACCTTAACGAGAATATTATAGGCAGAGAAAAGCAGATCATCGTCCTCGATTCCGAAAGACGCTACGTTATTTCAGGCGTTCCGCGAGCGTAACCACATGCAGTGGATCATCCCGCGGACACGAAGTTCGCCAAGCACTGGTAACTTAACGCCTTATGTTAGCTAACATCATCGTGCATGTATGTTGGGGTCGTCCATATACTTTCTTACGCATGGAGGAGTTTTAGCGCGTGTGGTTGCACGCAGGGATACAGCTTTACTCGGAGCGCGCGTGCAGGGAGAAATTTCATGTTGTGACAAGTCGCGTGAAGGGGAGTTCTACATATAGACACACAGACAAACAATATCCATGGAGACATGTGACGTCAGGTTATGCAGTATATTTACATTCCAAAGCATTCAAGGCATAGATACACTTTTCCACAATCATACTGTCCAGACGAACTATCTACGTTACGGGGTCCAGAAAGTGACTATTACAGTGGTGTACCCGCCGACGTAGCGGTTCTGGTCCTGCCAAAGCGCCAACGGCGCGTAAACAAAACAAACAATTCAGGACATGATGACGAAGATTTCGAATCGCAGTTTCGTATCTCGTACACAGCTTTTTCAAAATCTTCAGGCAAAGCTGGCTCCTTATTATGACAATCATGGCCAGCGCAGAGACAACCAGAAGCGTCCGTTGGAAGATGTGATGCCTGCGCTGCAACATCTTGCTGAGCCAGTGCCCCAACACTACATTGGCAACAGGTTTGCAACTTCAAAATCTGGGTCACGCTAGTATCTGACAGCATTTTGCAAATATGTTGCTGCCGCGAGCGGTGATGCCATCGCGTGGCCAATAGGAGCGCGGCTGCGTGAAACCATCGCAGGTTTTGCAGCGTGCGTCGACTCCCCGGGTGTAATTGCAGCCATCGACGGGCCTTTTCTCTTCATGGATGCACCCAGCAAGGAGATAGCAGCTGCCCATAATACCCACAAGCATCGCCAAACAGTACATCTACCGGCTGCTTGTGATCACCGCGGCGCACTCACTGATGTACTTCCAGGGTTCCGCGATCAGCCCACGATTCCTGTTTTTTGGAGAAGCCCCCCCCCCCCCCTCTGCTGCGACCTCAGGGAGCATCAGCGGCAGCTTCTCCCATCTAACACACTCCTCATTGAGGACAAGAGCTTCCCCTTTCCCCGGAGATCACCACCCTTTCCCGAAACACTGATCACCTCAGCGCCACTCAGCACCACTTCAACAGACCATACAAAAAAACACATGTCAAATTGAACATGCTTTCAGCATGCTGAAAAACAAACTACAGCAGCTAAAACATTTAGAAGTAAAAAACATGGGCAATGTGGCTGAGGTTATAAATGCATTGATCATTGTGTCATGCATCAATCACTGCATTGTGCATCATGAGCATAGTGCAGGAGATGACATAGTGCCTGCAGAGCCCTACAAGGCACATTCTGTGGAACAGACCAACATAGGGTGTGCTGTTACTTTCTAGTACTCAGAACCTGCAAGTGAAGTTCATGGGCATCACAAAGTGACAGCACATGGCTGACCACCTTATGGCAAAGATGATGATGCATGCAGCTTGCTCCAGTTAAATGTTGTAATGTGAAGATGGAGAAAGATAAAAGCAGATAAGAACATTCATTTCATTACATTCAAATCAGCACACACACACTTTGGGAAACACAGTGAGGGAGCAGTGGAAGTGTCTTTGGAAGGAACATGGACTGAAAAGCTTGGAGACCCTCCACCTCTAGGAAGACAATAATTTGTGTATACCCAGTTACTGGGGTTACTTTGGGCAACATACAGTATGACAATTCTATTGTTTGATTGCCTAACTGCCTAATGCATGTCAAATCTCACCCACAGGTGTTCACTTTGCACATAACCTTTTAAGAATTAAGTGTTCATTGCCTTCCATAGTTGACCATTTGGGCTACATCATGACAGTAAAACTTCATTGAAACAATACTTAAATACAAGATGGTGACATCTATGACACACATTAATTGGTCAGGGTGTACTTTCCTACCTAACGTTAGAAAAAATCATAGTACACTATTCGTCGTGTTTAAGGCATGCCATATCGTAAATAATCTCAAAACAGGTAGAATCATGCTCCTACCTTCGAATTTCAATAACTTCGATGGCGGGCCCCCGAGCGCCGCGCGCACCGCACCGCCTGGACTCCCCAGTGCCGTTTCGTAAATACAATATTTCTGCGTACCAAGAACTGTACAAAATGTACGGGACCAAAGTAGACCATTCGTCATGTTTAAGGCAGGACATATCGTAAATAATCACAAAACAGGTAGATTAATGATCTTAGCTTCATTTTTTTATAATTACGATGGCGAGCTCCCGAGCGCCGCACACGCACAGCACCCGCGACACCGGCGCCATTACTGCTCGGGTCACAACATTACTGCGAACCATAAAAATGTACCGGGACAAGGTAGCAAGAATCCATGAAATCTGATCTTCGACGCCAACGGAACCATGGGTTGCAGGGGGATTGGGTGGGGAATGTAAAGCAAAATGAGAACATGGCAGCTAAATAAAAGCTCACTATATGGCACCTATATATGGCATGGAACATGGATGCCAATGAGATGCCGGGTTGAAGGGGATATAGGGTGGGGAGGTTAGGTTAGGTTAGGTTAGGTTAGGTTAGGTTAGGTTAGGTTAGGTTAGGTTAGGTTAGGTTAGTTAGGTTAGGATAGGGTAGGGTAGGTCAGCTTAGCTAAGCTTAGGTTCTGGTCTATTCTCAGGTTAGGTTAGGTTAGGTTAGGTTAGGTTAGGTTAGGTTAGGTTAGGTTAGGTTAGGTTAGGTTAGGTTAGGTCAGGTCAGGTCAGGTCAGGTCAGGTCAGGCTAGCTTAGCTTAGCTTAGCTTAGGTTCTGGTCTATTCTCAGTTAGGTTAGGTTAGGTTAGGTTAGGTTAGGTTAGGTTAGGTTAGGTTAGGTTAGGTTAGGTTAGGTTAGGTTAGGTTAGGTTAGGTTAGGTTAGGTTAGGTTAGGTTAGGATATGTTCTGGACTATTCTGGCCTGCGTGTTTCATAAATGTACCTAAACTCGATAAGAAACGATTTTGGTTGCTTTATTATTGTTACCTTGGTCCCGTACATGTTTTATGGTTCTTGATAAGCAGAAATATTGTGCTTTCGCAACAACGCAGGAACGGCGCTTGGAAGTCGAGGCAGTGCGGTGCGGGGCGTGCGGCGCTCGGGAGCTCGCTATCGTATTTATTAAAATTCGAGGGTAGGAGCATGATTCTATCGGTTTTGAAATTATTTACGATATGCTCCGCCTTAAACACGACGAATGGTTTACCTTGGTCCCGTACATTTTGTAGAGTTCTTAGTAAGCAGAAATATTGTATTTACGCAACGGCAACGCAGAAACGGCGCTGGGGAGCCCAGGCGGTGCGGTGCGCGCGGCGCTCGGGAGCCCGCCATCGAAGTTATTGAAATTCGAAGGTAGGAGCATGATTCTACCTGTATTGAGATTATTTACGATATGTGCCGCCTTGAACACGACGAATGGTGTGCAATGATTTTTTCTAACGTTAGGTAGGAAAGTACACCTACACCCATTAATTTGTATTACAACTCACCCACCTTGTCAAACACAGCAGTCATGGCCATGGCAAATGTTTCTTTGGCAAGGCATGCATATATTACAGTCACCCTAAGATGACTCAATGCAATTAAGATAGGGACAGGCCATAGGTTGATGTGTACAGAATATCTTGCTCAAAATTATACATATGACCTTCATCATCAATACAAATGTTCAACTATGATCATTTTATACTCCTGTCTTGCACTTCCACATGCTCCAATACCACCAGCAATTAGGCAGTGAAATTAACCTCACATCCCTGTCACCCAGCAAAAATGTGTGCTGAAGTACATACCAGTGTTTGATCTGTTAACATTGATTTTAGGTAATGTCACCATGACATGCTGTTCAACATCAGGGTTCCAAAAGTCTGCCATCTCCATATTGTTCATGATCTGCCAGGCATGCATCAGGCCAGTGAACAACTCACATAGAAAATAAGTACAACCATATCCATAACATAATTTTTATACAGTACAACAACCATGCTTACAGGTCACACAACTGTGAGCTTGTTTGGTTAACTCATACCAACCCATGCCAGAGCAGTCTGGTAATTGAAAATAATCAATGAGACCTATGAAACAAACCAGCTCGCATTACATGCATACTTTCACCGATCTCATGCAGCGGCACCTGGACAAAGGAGTAAAGTAACAATGCATATAGGTGCGCATTTGCGACTGAATCACTAAGCAGGTAATGATGGCTAATATCAGTCGTTAGATAGCCTTGATATCAGTGTACCTCGCCTCGGCCAGGTACGCCGTGCCATGCAACCTTATTAAATCTACCTGAACCGACCTAAAACCCCGTTCTTGATGATCAAATGGAAGCCCATTCCCTACTTCCAGCGAGCCCAGTCAACACGTCCTCGAGCCTTGTTAGTACGGAATCTTACTAAGAGGGGAGTCGTGTTTAGTACCGATTCGTGCTAAAACTGGCAGAGTTTGGCACGCATAGGTATTCAACAACGCAGCCCGGTAACCCAGGGCTCCACATCGGAAATGTGGCTTGATTAGAGGTGAACCTCGTCAATGTCTTTTCGTTCCATGGGAGTGGAACACCTTCATTTCCATTCATTTCAATCATTTTGGCATCCCAATTCTCATTTGGTGGCGAATTGGTTCAAGGACGCAGTCGGCCGATTTCGGTCAGTGGGGAGCGCGGGCAAGCAGCGGAGGCGCGTGCCTGGGGAAACACTTGCACCTAACTTACAAAACAGCACTTTCTACGGGATGAGTGTGATATTGATATATCCTGGACTACAGGCCTTGGGGTATGTCGTGTTGCGGGTAGTGCGGATGATGGAACATGGTACTCGGGCTGTAGTGGTTTGCATTAGGCATGGGTTTGGCTCAAAGTTCTTGCGTCACCTAGGGAATGGGTCACAGAATTTAGGATCTGATTCAGCTCATGACTCATTCCTGTTCTATTTTTCATTTGACTTAGTTCATATGCAGTGCCTTCATTGAGTCATCTCACTCATAACTGATGCAGGTTGTAAAAGTAAGGCTGTGCAGTGTGCACCCTCCAAAACGTGGGGCGGCTACGCACCAGGGCTTATACACCCTCCAAAACGTAGGGCGGTTACGCACCCGGCTTATACACCCTCCAAAACGGAGGGTGGTTACACACCAGGCTTACACACCCTCCAAAATAGAAGGTGGCTGAGTACCGGGCTTATACACCCTCCAAAAACCTGGGATAAGAGAGCACCTGCCCCTATGTACACTGCAAATCCTATAAGACACCCAGCCCCCTGTCATCCCTGTGTATCCCCATTTCATTTTTGAGTTAATTTTGTTCATTTTTGGTAAGTGCCAAATGCGTGGCGCGAAAGAGACAAAATGAGCTCACCAACCTTGACTCACGTCGCTACGTGTGTGTGCTGGGTGTCGCTTGCTATTTCTCAGTTCATCTTATTGATGTTTTGTGGGGGATCGGGGGCGATGCATGTTGGATTTAATTATGATGTGTTTGAAGTTTTTGTGTGGTATGCACGAAAGCTAAAGAATTGTATTGTACATGATGGTGTTGGAAAACTTGACGTTTCCTGGTGTAATGTATACCAGGAGGTTTTGTACTCCAGGATTGTTACTGGGTAAAAATAAGTACTTTGTACTCCATCATGATGGAACAAAAACAGCTTTTGTAAAAGCCTGTTCTACCTCTTTGTGTCAGGACAAAATAAAACCAGAACATGCAACAGGTTCAGACTTGCTGCTTCCATCAGGAGCCATGTATTGATATCTGCAAGAGCAAAAATCTTGCACCCACCAGACTAAGATGCCCAATAGCAAGCAGCCTGTGTTGCCACCTAGGTACATGATAAACCATGCATGGAAATGTAAAAAAGTGCGTGAATGTTGAATGGAATCGCCTTTGAATGAAACCGGGAAATGAGAAAGTACCAGAATCGCACCGGTCTGTAGATAAGCAAAGCTGTCACTTCCTATGTTTGCGGACCAACTCAAACGTGAGATGACTTAACCGACCATTGATGACGAACCACATTAAGTTGCGGCTGCTGTGCGTATGTGGTGCTCGGGAGCTCGCCATCGCAATTATAAAAAATTTGAAGGTAAGAGCATGAATCTACCTGTTTTGCGATTATTTATGATATGTCCTGTCTTAAACACGACGAATGGCGTACAATTATTTCTTCTAACGCTAGGTAGGAAAGTACACCCTGACCCAGAGCCTTTCATAAATTGAAAACTCATGTATATGCACATGTGTTTCATAGTACAGAGTATGAGACTGTGTTGTTTCAGTGTGCCATGTTTAATATTGGTGTTTCCTTTCATTTAAAGCACTTTTACATGAATTGCTGTATATGAAAAGTGGCGCTTTCGCTGAGTACCACCCATTGTAGTGTTATCTCTCAAAGATAAGCTAAATAGAACTGTAATGACCCGCAGCATTTCGATAATTTTGTACTCCACCAGAGAAAATTTGTACTCCGCTACCAGGACATTTTTTGGAATTTCCAACACTGGTACACCATGCTGTTTGTGTGTGCAGTAGCCATTTGTTAACCTGTTGGTAATGTTGAAGGCACAGGTTTTTCTCCATGATTTTAGTGTAAGGCGGCTTTGGGCCGCTAGTTGCAGGGAGTTGAGTGATTTGCCTGCTGTCTTGCACTATGCTTGATTGTGTGTGTTGTGTTTCTATAGCTGCATTTTTGAAGGCATGTATGAACCTGGTGGTGCAAAATATACCACATTATTGTTATTGCATGTTGTAAAGCTGATGCATCTCTTCAATTAATCCAGACACTGCTCAGATAACTAGCATCTTTTTTGATTTTTTTAAAGTCATTTTGAGGCATCAAGTATGAGCAGTACAAATGACAGGTAGCAAACATAATGCTGTGAATATTTATGTATAGCATTAGGCTGCAATCTCATCTGATTACATATTATGGTTGTTTTGGGGACTGAATCCCATGTTGCGTCAATTTTTCATCATCACATATCTTCCTTAGGTGTATGAGTGCACATAAGCACATTATGTGATGGATATATAAATTCCATGGCGATGATCAGATAACATTTTTTGTAGCTGTTCCATTGTATGCTTTGGGGTCCAGGCTTCATAATTTGTTGTATGAATCCAATTATATCAAAGTTATCATAAAGTCTAGCTCTTCCCTTGAAATCTGATGATAACTATAGCACTCCACTTTTTTGCTTAGATATACCAGGGACCTGCAATGAAATTGTCAGAGACAGGTACCCAAGAGGGAGGCATGGAAAGAGGGGTGTCTGCAGTCCTTACAGTGAGAAGAACTGTCACAAGACTGTGCTGCTGTGGATAGACATTGGACATGCATTGGTGCCCCAAGCTACCAATAGTGAGAACTGTGCATGCTGTATAGAAAGAAATGCTGTGACCAGGTCTTTTACTTATGTCCCATTGTCATTGATATTTAGAATAAGACACTGTATGGCTGCCCCTGGTATTCAGAAAATCATGCTGGAGTGTGTTATGCATGCATAAATAAAGGCAGGCTGTGCACTAGGCATTGTCTAATGGTTACACAAAAGTTTGTTTTCCACTATTGCTGACAAATTGAAATTTCTACCTCTTTGGAAATTATGAAGACTACATTTCAATAAGACATGCGCAGCGTGGTAGCTTTTATGCAGCAGTTTCAAAATAAATTTCCTTACCTGCACATAGCTATTAAATGCATTTCAAAGGTCATAGTAAGTAGTAACAAATGACAGGTTTTGATCTCTTCAGGCACTAAGATGACCTGATGCAAGATTATAAGTGATAATATTGGATTCCTGTGGGATAAGCAATCCAGAAACATGCATGACATGACTAGCATACTGTGTGTCATGTTGGCCTCATATGACTTCATCTTGACGTCCTACCCACATCTTGACTATGTAATGACCAGAAAAAATTGTAGCTGACGTTTAAGCTGTGTAACTCGATCAAAATGAACGTGAAAATATTTTGAATCATAGATCACATGAATACAGCAAATTATCACAGTAATGGAATGACCTTGATCTGATCCCATTGTGACATCTACATGTTTGTGACACAGCATCCTCATTTAGCCAAAGAGCATATACTTTTTGAGGAAATGAAACACTCCAGTGGACCCAGCCCCTGCAAACATGTAATGGGGGGTCTGCAGGCCTTTGCCTGACCTTGACCTTTTATGTCAGCAGGATTTCTAATTGTTGTTTCTTTAAGATGCGCCTTGGACTCTTTTGGTTTGCATATATATTTCCAACTTGGGCAATTAATTCCCGAAAAAGCTTTGTGAGAGTTGTGTCTCCCGGCTTTCCAGCCCGGGGCGCTTGGCTGGGACGCCAGCCAATTAATTATTGATAAACCTTGCAGCTGATATTATGGCTTATTCGGAGAATAAATAGTCTTGTTATAGTCTTGTTGAAGGGGAAGGTGTGTGATTTAACCAAGGCCGTCTCCTATAATGTGTTCTTTTGTGTATGTTGCATGCACCTTGAGAAAATGCAAACTCAAAGTTCTTGATTTGGCTGAGTTCATATCACCCTACTTAGGTATGGCGCGATCGGAACGCATCAGGGCTATTTCGTTTCTCCCAGCGAAGTGACTAGCAGTTGCATCTCGGGACTCGAAATCGGTAGAGAATGGCTCATTGCAGTCACCCGTTATGCAACATAGCAGCACCTCGGCGCCAGCTCGGCACCGCAGGTACAAGAACCGCACCTGTGCCATAAAGCGCGGGTTAGTACATTCGAAATTTTGCCTTTTCTCAGCCAATGGCTGCTGACACTAAAGCGTAGTCGGTGAAAGTAACAGTGGCAGTTTCTTATCGCTGAATCTGTGGTGGCGACGTAGAAAGCGTGTTCCCTACGTCCTCCTTCATCTCTGACGGCAAGCAGGCGTGATTCGGCGCAGCACTTTCGGTGTCACGTAAATCACAGATGAACACCACGTCATCAAATCGTTTACAGTTCTTGCATTGGCATATGTCGCAGCACGTCGACAGGCACTAATACGCTTTTTCCCCATGCTGCACAGTCTCGCATCATCGTCGCAACGGGAAACCCACCAAAGGTTGCGTGGGAATTGGACAAAAGGGAAACAGCGGCATCAGAGGCCGAGCCCGAGGATTGCCTTGCCCTGCAGTTTTTAGTATCACAATTGCAAAACCTGCATACCACTTGAATAATCTCACACAATGATACCCCCGTGGCACAGACAGCGGCGGCACAGATAGCATGCCCCCCCCCCCCCCCCTCCCTTAGGATCCCCAAGGGCTCGTTCAGACCCCTTGGTATCGACGATTGAGGGCCCGTTTTGAGTGCCCAAAGGTCTGACTGGGGGTCGCATTAAGGTGCCTGACGCTGCTGGCTGGGCTTACAAATACCAGTCA